ACACTGTGAGAATTTTAAGGTCATAGGAGGCAGTTCTATTTTAAAAGGGATTTTTCAAGTGAAGAATGACTAAAAATTTTTTATTAATTCAAACTCTAAAGAACAGATGGTGATTGAACTATGCATGTTCTATTGGCTTTAAAAATGCCCAGTAGCAGTTTAAATGTTTGTAGACAAGTAACAGGCCTACGTTGTGTGATGTCTTTCATTAGTATTTGTATCCTCTATATGTAGCCTGTGTTTCACTTCTAATTCTAGTCYTTATACATTTCATATGTTCATAAATTTTTACCATGAGATTTGTGTAAACCTAYAACTCCTTCTCTTAATAACTGAAATATGGATCATATAGGCAATCCATATAGGCAATCTTAGGCAGAGGAGAGATTGTTTTGAAATTGAAAGGCAAGCAAATGATTTTTCTTTTTCCTATACTTTTCATCTAAACTTTCTCATGTTACTTTGACCACAGAAGTTATTTTCACATAACTCCATTATATTTTTTGAAGAGTTAAGTGTAAGTTTTTGAACATTTTGTCTGGATTATTCTTGATTATCTATACTGATGAGAATTGCAAATGATAAAAAAAAGGAGTAATAAGAATTTTATGCAGGATATGCTGACTATTTTAGTGAGGAACTAATGAGCTTTTCATCTAAGGACAAAGCTTAGATTTTACATTAGACAGACAGACTTAATGTCTGGAATTTTGTTCATGTACCATAACAGAAAATTTAATGTGATCCTATTTTTCTCCTCTGCAAGTGAGAGAGAATGTTTGCAAGCTGTTTAAATAGCAGCATGAGAATGTGGCTCATGAGCTGAAACCTCATTTTCACTGATTGGTTACCTATGTTTACAGTGATGGCACCCAAAGAGCACATGAAACTATGTTCAAAAAAACATTTAGGATTACCTGCTGATAGTATACTCTCTAAGAATTCAAGCAAAAACCTTCTGAATGCTTTATCTGCTAAAGAAATATCATTGTGTTGCCTGCTGAACTCATCTAGGGGTGGATAAGAACCAACAAGCTCCTCTCTTCCACATCCTTGCAATGTTAGCTAGGATAGAGATATTCCCATTTCACAAGCACAAAACTGACACACAGAGATGAAGATACTGAATTGGGTTCTTAGCTCTGTGCCAAGTATTAAGAATATGAGCCTCTACAAATTCCTCCATGTTTGTCTGCTTAGATGTCTGCTGAATCTGAGGAATTAACACACACATCAAAACTGGCTGATTTCAGGAGGTTGTATGAATAAATGAATTTGCTTACTAGGAAGAATTTTGTGTTTGGAACCCTTAGTTTGGTGTCCAGGTCTGTCCACGGATACTTCCACTGCCTTACTGTGACCAAAACCCCACAACTAAGGATTTTCTGTCCCATGGAATGAAAGATCCAGCAGCTGGTATCTCAGTTTGCATATCCTGAAAAGTGGATTCATTCAGAGAGCTGAGCACTGCAGGTGTTCAGTTTGCATGTTTGGATTGAATTGACAGCTGAATTACTTTTTGAGAAGGAGAATAAAAACGTATTTTGAAAAATAGTGCAAGTGAAGCAAAATACAGAAATACGACTTTATACATCCCAAGTGTGTTTAAAATTAGGTACCTCATCAACTGTTTGTCATTGGAAGTGGAATTTGTATTGTTTCATTGAAAAACATTTTTGAAATAAAACCTAACTTATAGATTCATATTTCAGTTTCTTAATAGCATATGATATTGCATATTGCAGTATTGTTATTAAATAGTGTTATATTGCAGTATTATTATTAATTCAAAGAATTGCGCTCTCAGAATCTGTTTATAGTTTATATTGGAAATTATTTTCTTTTAGTTGGATACAAAAAAACATAGAATCATGCTGAATCTGATGTGCTAGTTACCTTTGGGGTATTTATCTGCAGAAAGTGCAATCTTAAGGACTAAATAGTTCTTTAATTTTTTGTACCTCATCTTTAATACATTTGGTTTGCTTTGGTTTTGTAAATTTTTTCTTCCACGTTTTTTGTAGAGGGGCATATCATGCTTTCATTTGTTTAAAATGACTAACTGAAACACAAAACTTTTTAACTTGCCTTTTAAAGAAAAGTCTAACTTTTTTAAAATTAGAAGAGAGCCATGAGAAATAATAGATGGGATGACTGATGAGGAGTAAACTAGAAATATTTCTGACCATCTACTTAYGTTTTCCAGTAAAATTAGTAATTGGGATTAGCCTGGCTATAGTAAAATTACAAGCAGTGATTAGAATAAGTTKGATATACTGGTCTGTCATACCAGCTGTTAAAAAAATTGCCTGGCACTTCTCAGAAGCTGTAATTGGTATGCTGATGCTGGTAAGGGAAGGTGATGCTTTTAAAATGGAAYTTCTCAGATGCACTGAAAATGTTGAAAGTAAAACTCCTTTGTGGTCTGGGTCTTGCAATATAACAAATTAATACTCAGAGAACTTTATAATCTGTTCGGTTTGGATGTCTTATACTTTGGTGTCCAGTTCAACAATATAGAAGATAAATGTTGATGTGCTAACAGAGAAGTTACATTTTAAAGTGGTTAGGCAYGTTAAAAATCCTATGGGATGTCGTACAGGCATGATCAGCTGAGGATCAACAGATAAAGCAAGTAAAACACAAAGGATTTATAATTAGTATTTTGAAAGACCTGTTTATTTTATATGATCCTTCTATACTGATGCTTTCAGCAAAGGCAAAGGAAGTTAACAAAATACTTGTTCCTGAAATGAACTTTTCAAAGATTTCTACAGCACTGCTTGACTGCCTCCATGGTTTGTTCTGTTGAAGTTACTTTTCCTCTTTAAGTGAATCTATCCACTAAGTAGCTTTTTAAAGTGTAGTTCGGCAGACACCACTTATTTTCTGGAAACATCTGTCTACCATTGTTGTAGTGATATTTATTATTGCAATTATTATATGTGTTCAGATTATTTTGGTATAGATTTTCCATTGCTTGTATCTTATTTATGTCTAGTGCCATTATAAAATACTGCTTGGCAATATTTCAGACTCACCTTTTTCAAGAGTTACAACACGTTGTARTAGCAATTGTTTCATTACCTGTCATTGAAGTAAGAATTGTAGTATTGCAATTTTTTTGTTCTCTTGGCAAACTTGATTCGGAAGAGTGACATGTTTTGATTGAATACTGGGGCTGTGTTTGTGTGATGTTTTCTCTTTGTGAGAAGTATAATCGACCTGAGTGTTGTTATGATCTCCAGAATATGATGTCCTGAAACAGTTAACTAACATTAAAGATATTTGAAAACTATTAACAGATTGGAATGAAACACTAAGAGATTATTTATAAAATGGAGAACATCACCCACATTGTGTCTGTCACAGATGGAAGAAATGAATGTATTGACAGGTGTGCAATCGATGGAATAAGTTTATAGATCTAAAATYCTATCCAAGATGTCAGAAACTAACAGTTTGTCTCCAGTACTGGATGTGAATTAGCTTGAACAGAAGCTGCAGTCCYATTAGGCAGCCAATTCTTTATTGCCTGTGTATTGGAAGAAAGTAATTTACAGTGTTTTTCTGAGAATGTGACAGTGAAATTTGTTCCTGAAACATTAACAGACAGCATGGTACAGTTTTAACTTGTGTGTTTGCTAGGGATAAATATATATCACATTTTAATTTCCTTCCAGAGTCAATGTGCTAGAGAACTCACCATATCTGATGTGATTTCAGAAGAGCCAGTGCTTGGTTTGCAGTCTGCTTGCAGACTTTGAAGTGTATGGGTTATTTCACGTCATGATAATACTGTGAATGTTCAGACTGGCTGTTTTCATTAARTCATAAGAAATAGCACAGACTAAAGTGATCTTCTGTGTCATCAGAGAGGTACCTACACAGCCTAGATTTTCAAAAGGGAGTGAAATGGCTGTATCTGAAAACAGGTTTTTATTGCCGTAGTAGCTTGTAAAAGTCAGAGAAAAGTACTGGCAACCAGGTRAACATTAGTGATTTTCACATGTTTGCTGAGGGAAGAATGCACTCCTATTCTAAAACAGCAAGGAAAGAYAGTGATTCTGACTTTGCTCTTATCATCTCTTGTGGCCACAAATGTGTTGGCTACATCCCACAGGTAAATCTTCTTGTACTGGTAGAATATGTGGTGCTTCCTCCATCAGCCTCTGAAATGTTTCTTGTTTACAGAAGTTATTGGTTATTAAAAATCTAGGCTTCCTTATGAATGTGAATCCTTGTACCAAATTCACAGTTCACTGTTATTCCATGCAGTCCAAATGCCATCYTTGTGTAACAGTGAATGTAGTGCAAATTGCATTTTGGAAACCACCTCCATTGTTTCAGCCATGTGCGTGYACACAGATTATGCTGTTCAGCCAAATGAAGCTGGGAAATGATGATGTATAGAGTCACCTTCTTATGGTGTAGCCTTGTGTATTGGTTTATAAAAGGATAGAACTAGTCAATGTACACAGCCATTTTAATAGTATGATTTAGATTAACAGTACCGGTAATGTAATGGCTGAAGAGGTAAAAAAACGTTTAAATAGAGTAGAGAGCATTTTCGCATAATGATTTGTGTTTTGGGGGCATAGAATACAAATTGGATAGAACTTAATTGCTAAAGCTAGTTAACTGTAAAATTAATTTTAGTATGGCATAAGTGAAACAGTAACTTTGATACAGTAGACAAGCAATTTAAAGAAACTACTGGTTACTTAGGTTATTGTTTCAATTTTATAATTACATTGTATTAAGGTTAATTGATATTACACCTCCTAAGAATGTCTCCTTRAATTGAAATGATGATGTTAAAGGAAGATATTTATTTTGGTGATGCTGCATTATGGAACTGAAATGCTGATTGCTAAGTACTCAGTGTGTATGTCTATATGTTTGAAACTGTAYGATGTCTCTTTTAAACATAGTGCAAGGACTACACAAAACAAAATGTTGTGAGTAATAAGTGTTTTGTCCCATCTACCTTTTGACAGGAGAATTAGATGACAGAGAACAGGCAAAGCTGGAAGTAAAAGTATGGGATCCAGATAGYCCCCTTACTGACCGTCAGATTGACCAATTTTTAGTTGTAGCACGGTAAGATTAAAATCCTCTCATTAAAAAATCCTTTTTCTGCTGACTGTTTATTCCCCTATATTGTGTTACTCATCTTGTTTGCCATTTTGTGAGCCCTTCTCTTTCCCACAGTTAGCTAAAGAGAAAATCAGACCATGATCCTTGGTATATTTATTGAAGGTAGCAATACAGAGAGAGAAAAAGAAAGTGAGTTTTGTGATAATGCTACACTCYTTGCATTTCAGCTTATAATAGAATTTTATTCTTTGAATGTAGATGTCAGTTTGCTTTCCCCTCGGAGTAAATTATTTCAGTGGTAATAATAATGAAGTCTTGTTTTACAGTACTTGGAATTTCATSGCATAAAGTAGAAGTTAAGAGTTGAAATAAAGGAAATGTTAACAAATTAAATGGTGCAGAACTTGCCACATCAGCTGAAAAATACGCGGTGCAATTGTTTTGAATGAATGTTGAAATAAAGTTTTGAATGTTTTTCATTAGTTAAAAAATCAGGTCAGTTTAATTTTATAAATTAATATGATTATGCAGATTTATGAGAGGAACATCAAAGTGCTTTGAATTAAGAAATACCTTTAAAAATTGTTTCTCTATTTGAAAAAAACCCTTCAAAAATCTGCAGGCTTCTTACTGAAGGACAATTCTACATTCATAGGATACAGTAGGTTTTGCYCTTGCTCTTKAATTCATACTTACAAAGGTACTGTTCTAATGATAACAGAAAACAGAGTTAACATGGTTTTTATCCTGAATAAGTCCATCTGSTGCATTTTCTGTAACCTGCTTGCAGAGTGTAATCTCAAATCTTCTTAAGCAAATAATCCTTTTACATGGGTTTTTGATTTTTTTTTCTTTCTCCCTTTTGAATGAAACATTTTCAAGAAGGAGGGAAAAAAACGTTACTCTGCATTTGACAGCTTATGTGTATGGTGATATGGGATGCTGAATTATTGCTTTACAGTTCAGGTGGTGACCCACTTGTTTTTCTCTTACTCTCCCACTTGGAATGTTGTATCCTTTCTATACAGTACTATTTTTTTTCTATACAGTACTAATTTTCAAGCAAGACAGAGGGGTTTAGGTGTTAACAAGTGTTGAGAAGGTCACMGTGTCTGGTAGATGCTCCACAGAAATCAGGAATCAGAACTACTTCTTCACTAGCAGTATAATACCCGGAGGTGTATGGGCAGACTAAATGTGGTGTGCCCTAAAAACAAAATCTGCATGAAGATTGTGAGTTTGGAAGAATTCATTCATTGCTTTTAAATACCACTACTCCCTGTCTTGCAGCCACTGTGGGGAGCTGAAATAGTATTCTGTGGAGCCAAAAATGATCCCAGAGGAGTGTAGCAGTAAACAGTTAGCTGGGAAGTGACAGAGAATAATTAAATATGTGAGGAAGAACATACCTTTCTCTTCCTGTTATTTAAGAGGTCCTTTGCAATGCTGTGCCCTGACAAAGACTGCAGTTTTTTCTGGTTAATTGTAACTATTCAAGGTCCTGTGATACTGGAATGGCCGTCTGTAATCAGGGGCTACTCAGGTGCAGCTTTTTGGATGTTCTTCCACAGAACTCCATTCATCTTTGGAAGCTGCTTTTCCACTGAAAAAAACTGTTTCCAAGCTCCATATTGTATTMACAGGATGCAAAATGGCATTTCTGTTGCACAAAGTGGCCTCTGARACAGGTTTGCACCAGTTTCTCAGAAAATAGTTCTGTGATGATTTGGTGGCAGCTTTCAGTTCAGTATGTTTTGTGCAGGATTTTTGCTGGCCCATTATATAGGACCATTAAAAGCTGCTTGAGTACCAGTGGAGCTGGTATTATGATTTGGTGACCACTGCTTACAGACAGCTCTACTGTGCCCTAMCTGCAGTTCACTAGGCACTGGCTATGCCTGCTGGATTTCCAGTTGGAATGGTCTTTCTCTGACTAGGTTTAGTTCTGCAAGTTTAAAAATAYGACAAGAAGAATGTTTTCCTGAATAGCTTCCCAGGTGAGATTTTCCTTAAGTATGTGTATGCTATTGTGTTTGACATTTAAAAAGCTTTCTCAAGTGATCCCTTTTAGGTGCTACATCAAAGGAATTGAGTATTCTCATTTTTTTCAGTCTGATCTGGTTGAAAGAAGAGTTGCTTTTTCAATCATACAAGCAGCTTTGTTGTTTTTTTTAGAAGATGCTTAAATACTTTTTATTTGTGTTGCCCATTTGCCAGTATATTTATATTTTACCTTGGGCTCATAGCTTTCCCAGTCTTCCAAGGTTTATTTACTGTCTCAGCAATGAGAASCCTTTTTTCTAGGTTTATATGCTTGGTCAGTCTGGGCCTCTCACTAAGCCCTGGTATGCTGGATAGAAAGGTACAATTTCCTGGATAGAAAGGTACAAGAGTATGCCTCTCCTGTCCAGAAATTAGACATAACTGTGCTGAAAAATCAGTGGAGATTTTGAAAAAAGCAGAAGGATGCAGAGCCTTGGCCGCTTCAAATAGCCTTGCTTGTCTTACAAATCTTGAAAGTACCTTATTGCTGCTACTGAAGTGTAATTTGGGTAAGGACTTTTGCTTGAACTAGCAAAAGTATCTGTTGGGAGAAGCTTGAGGCATCAGACTAATATATTCTGGGTTTGAGATGTTTCTTGGGTAATGTTTGTGCTGTGGCAATGAACAGTCCAACAACAATTTCTACTCCATTCAAATAAGATACAATTTCATCAACCAGTTTTTCTTCTGTCTTACATACTGGCAATGTTTCTTTGTCTGCTAGCTCCAAGGCACAGGAGTTTGGGAAGCTGCAACAGCCATTTAGATCTGTCCACATTAGCAAATAGTTGAATAGAAAAGTAGAAGTGGATTTGTAGAATTGAAATGTTTGGTGCKGAGRGCTTARTGTCCAMACTGCACATTTTGASCAGTTTTATTTTTAGTTATAACTCYAATCATGTCCTGTGAACTAAATCTATGAATATGTGGAACTACTTAGAACAGAAACCCCGTTTGTATGCTGTGAGATACTTTTTGTTGTAGTATGCAGTAGATTAAAAATGCTGGGGACAGCGGCCTGGAACTCCGTTCCTAATTTGAATTGATATAGATGCACCTTGTTTCCTCCAGTCATCAGTCTCTTATAATTTCTGATATACAAGGAGTACTGAATTTCATTGACAGATCCTACGTCCTTTTCCTGATTCTGCCCCAAGTTGCACAGTGTTACCAAATTAAAGCCTTCCATTTGTCTGTATAGCATAATAGTCCTGTCTTTTTTTGGTTTGTCAGAGTAACAAATTATCCTGCCCARTCTCAAATGCAGTAGGAGGTGTGGGCTCTGGTCTGGTCTGGACAGATACTGAGAGCTCAAGAAATTACCCTTTTTTCTTTTTTTTTTTTTTAATTTTCTTTCTGTCTTCTAATTTGGTCTCTAATTTATTGCATGATACATTTTTGGTGCATTCTAGTTCTGTTTATGTGCTTTATGATTCAATGAAATCATTAAAAATGTAGTTCTTTTATTCTGCTTCATCTAACTACATTATCAACATAATCTTCTGGAAGGAATATATCTCTAAATGAAGCTATTTTACAGAAATTTGTGGTCTCAGCTTATTTCTAATTAAAGCAGGGTTTTAAAATCTAATTAAAATAGGTAGAAGCATTGCTTCTACCTTAACATTTTGTGCTTTGATTTCTATGACATTAAAATGGCATTACATACCTCTATCTAACATATTTCTCATAATTTGAATGCCTGCTTATTTTTTGATGTAAAATCATAAAATTTAGTTGTGTTAAACTAGAACTTGATCCTTTCTGTGTTGTTCCCACTTTTCCATTTTCTCAAGGACAGTGATTATATTAATTTTCTATTGGTTACTATTGATTTAGTTATAAGTGCTCATGGTATGTTGGTGTATTTGGAGATGTTCTATGACTGTATRTGTATTTGTTATTAATTTATCTTGTAGTGAAGAAGGGAACACAATGCAGCTTCATCTGGCAAGGTGTCTCATTATGCTCAGGAAACTAATACTCATTAACTGAGAACAATAAATAAAAACGTTTACAGGTGTAATCAAGCAGCAATGTTCTGTTCTTGTGAAACAATACATTGTAGTTAGTGGCAGTAGACAAAATTCCCAAAGCTCATAAATGAAAATAAATACATAAGAGGCATCAATTTTAATGGTTCAGTGTTACTATGCTTCTGGATTCTCTGGAGGTGGTGAGAARTAAAAGGAATTGGAGTTCATTAAAGAGGTAATTAAATTTAATGGCAGAATTGCAACATAAAATTATGCAGAAAAAATGGTGAAAAATCTTGATGCCAATGCTGCACTCACAAAACTAGATGTTTGCTAGCAAGGTGAATTACAGCACCTAATGGTAGGCAGATGRTTTGGCAATAAAAAAGGAAAATATGTTCACATCAAGTTTACCAGGCGTACCAAAAATTCTGTGTTTCTGCCTGTCTGTCATGCCTGGCTARTATGTTTATTCCTTTGTGTGTTTTGTATTACTGTACTTCTTGACCCAAATCAGTTTAGAAAGAACCAGTTCAGACTTGGAGATGAATTTATTTTTGTATATTTTTTTAATGAACTTTGATCTATTGCAGTGTAAAGAATAAATTTTTGTAGCAGAGAGTTTTCACAGACCTGCTTCTAGGGGGCTGTACATCTCCTCCTCTGTGACTGTGAAATTGCAGGATGGCGTACAGACACTGCCTTAAATAACATCCTGTGAATTAAACTACTTTTATCTATCAGGTTCTATTTCTGTTGAATAAGAAAGATTTCACATATGTTTCATTTCTATTCATGTGGTAATGAAAGTGAAGGTTGGTCGTAACATACATTTATATATCATGCCACTAACTTTGACTCTTTCAGGAAAATAGTAGTGGCAGGTGTCTTTTCATGTTTATCATGTCATTTCCCTTTGTGCTGTAAATATCTGAAATGATAATAATGAAGCATAGCACTGTGCAGTTGCTCAGAAATATAAAGAAAATGTGTCTTTTGTAATAGCATCATTTTACTTTGAATGTGTTCCGCAGGTCAGATTTTGCAAACTGAGTAATAAAAATCTCTGATGTATTTTTAGTTTTAAATAAATATTTTGTTACTTATATGTCTTCACTGAAGATTTTTTCTTCTTTCCAATATTTTAAATATCACAACACTCTCTTCTAAAGCAATGAGATTTATTTGCTGTTTGTAAAGTTCAGAGCAGTTTAAGGGGTTATCTTTTAGGACTGTTTCTAACTTACATGAAGAGCAACATTGGAGTAAAAAGAAGGAAAACAAAAGGCTTTCCTAATATATAGAAACTCACCAAAGATCACCTAATTGTTTTCCTCTGAAATATTAGCTCAGAGGTGAGGCATAGGACTCATTGATAGTTTGCAAGCATCTGTGGAAAATTGTGCATTTGCATATTCATGTATGCACAGATGTGGTTCACTTCAAACAGCTTTGTCCAGAGTATACTCACCAGTTCTCTGGTATCACTGAGAAAGACAAACCATGTAGAAAAATGAGCAATTTTAAAATAAACATCTTCAGATTAGAAAGGATGTATGTCCTAGGTGTATTTTCAAGAATACAAGGTAGAAGAAAATCAAGAGTTACTGGCCTGGATCCAGAACTTTCTGGATCTGATTTGAAGCCAGACTGCTGTTGCTACTGGGGAAAGCAGAGGCTATTTTTATTCTGACGTATAATTGCAGTGGTTCCAGATTTTCTTTGGTAAATAACAGCTCTTTTAAGAACTAGGTAGTGATGAGCCACTGAATCTTTGGAAGTTTGTTAGTACACTTTCTTGTGTTTACTGCTTTGTAATTTCATTGGCTACCACTAATACTCRTCTTACGCAAAATTTTGAACGATTTTTTCCTTTAATGTCTTAGACTTGAGCTATAAGAAATTTGGAGCAATGTATTTCCTGTGCTCAAAATCTAATCTGAAGTTTTGCCTGAATGAAGGGCACATGGGCACAGCAACCCCAGAGATCTCACTCAGGTTTTTTGGACAAAGACCTTGTTGAGCTTTGCTGGTTTTGTGGATTTATTCCATAATTGTAGATGCTGGCACTGGATGATATAATTTGTTTTGTTTTTACGGTTGTCAGCTGCAATCTGTTAYAAATCCTTGAGAGAACATTCTTGGTTCTGCTTTTTAAGATAGTTAAACCAAGGAAAACCTAATTAAGGTAACACTGGATCATTTAGTCTAACCCTTAAAGCTCTTATACCTGCTTGCTGATGCAGGCTGTGCAGAGAGTCATCTCCCTGCTAATAATAACAATTGTTTCTCTTGTCCATCTCTCTGCCATCAATGTAATTCATTGTCTGTGTGGCTTTTGGCTTTAGCTTATTTTGGAAAATGTGAGGACTGTTGGTTTCTGTTTGAAGTCTAAGTACTTTAATTACATGTTGAATAACTCATAAGTAGCTTGCTGAGTACAGTTTTTTGGGTTGAGGGTTTATTACTGCTATTATTGAATTGAATATAATTTCAGCTAACTATTTACAGTTACTATKTGAATTCTACAAGCTTAACAAGGCATTAATATTGAATGTTAAGAAAAATGAGTTAGAGTSTGACTGTTCAGCTTGTTGGCTTAATACTGAGTTTTATTTTGGTAGCAGGTAGGTGAAGATTAGTGTGTCTTCTGGAATTGGCATTGGTTGGTTATTTTTCTTTCCTTTTTAAAAACAATTTTTGAACGGTGGAATTAGAAAAAAATCATGCAAGGAAATGTGACAAAGGTGGTTTTTGTCCTTTGCATCAATCTGATCCTTATATCTGTATTGCTAATTGAAAAACATAAAAATTAAAGTATTTTAGTGATTTCTAAAATTAATATTGAATTTGGATCTGAATTGGCTAGCTAGATTATACAGAGCACTGTATATCACTATTCAGTTTTGAACCTAGTTACTATTTAACAGGCAAATGCTCTAAAATTTCTACACTTATTTGGAATTTTACAGTTTTTCACAAGTTTCTATGGAAGGGAGAACTGGAAGTTAGTTTGATTTCAAGGGAGTAACAGAGATGCACATACCTCCACAAGCCCCATTTGTGTCCAGTACCATCTCCATCCCCATCCTGTTCTGTCCCCATTTGCCCCCCAAATGGCACACTGCCTGCATTTTATTATTTATTAGTAATTTGTTTTGTTCTGTTACCACATTTGTTTGGTCATATTTCATGCTATTTTTTGTTATCTTTTATTGTATTGTTTTTATTATTTTRTCTTTATGTATTTTATTTATTATTAATTTTTTTTTTGCACTCATGTGCCCCAAGCTCCCACACAGCTTTCTGCTGACACTTGCAATCCTCTCCTACTCAGTAGGACTGGAAGCAATGTCCACTGGTGCATCAGTTATTACCTCCTTATCACTTACTCAAAATAAACCTAGCTTTATATTGTGTCTTAATTTTGACTTCATATTCTGGGCAACAGAATACCTTTGGGCTCTGAAGTTTGATCTGCCAGAGAGTGACTGCGAGATCATGTTCTTTGTAATGTTCATAACATACTCTGATTTTATTTTACAAATGTGGTCAAAAGGAAATAATTTCAATTGTGGAAAAGGAAGATAAGAATTTAGTAGGTAGCAGCAGAAGCGAAATGCAGTCATGCCACATTCACTGGTTTGAGCAGTAGGGACAGAAGGATCACAGGAAAGATGTTTTAGCTACAACCCTTATCAATGCCAGCATGCTGAAAGGTGTTGACTGACTATCAGGAAATGTGTTCACAA